ACTTATTTAATAAAAGACAATGAAAGGTCAATAAGTTAACACCAAAAGTTGGTTTGAGTTGATAAGAAATCTTCATCTATTAAAGAAACTTTAGATGTGGTCCAAAAAGCATTTTAAAATACAAAATAAATAAAACCCATACGTTAGTGTGTTGAATTGTCGAACTCTTTTTTGTACTTTTTGGTTTAGTATTTCTGGTGCCATGTAAATTGGTGTTCCAAAACTACATGTGAATGTCATGTTGGTCATCGGCATGTTGACGTTTCGCGCACTCCCAAAGTTGGTCAGCTTCCCAAAGACACTGTCGTTACAGTCCATCGACACAACAAGGATGTTGTCTGGCTTGATGTCTCTGTGTAAGATCCCGTCTCTGTGAAGGTATTTTATGCCGCTTTCTGTGTCTGTTTCAATTTTAACGCGTGTTCTTTTCTTGATGTTGCATTGATTTGTTTTTTTAATCAAATCCGTCAAACTGCCGTGTTTTGCAAATTTAGTCACAATGCATACAAATTGTATGCATTGTGACTTAATAGCACATTGTCAATATCCTAAAACAGTTTTTAGGATATCGACAATGTGCTCACTTCTGGACTTGTCCAGCATCTACACCTTCTTTGACTTTTCAGTATTACTATTAAGTATCACACGGTCTACTGTCTGTGTCAACATCTTATTCACAATTGTGTTACTTCTAAATGTGCCAATAAAAACAACACCAAATGAACCTTCACCAATCTGCTTCTCTTCTTAGAGTTCGTTTGGATCAAGAATCGTTGTCACTTCTGTGTTTGCCTTCATGTTGAAGTTGTTGACTGTTTCATCACCACTCTCAATCGACTTTGTAACAAGTGGGATTGTTGTGTTTGTTTTAATCGTGTAATTTATTGTCAGAAATAATCTAATTTCTGATGCACAAATTTGTAAATTGTCACAACACTCGGTGTGATCCGAAGTGTAAATTTTTCAACATGTGATATCATAGACATCTGCACCTTCACTCAAATTGCCAACACATAAGAATTGTCGTGTGTCTTCACAAATTTGATCTCTTCAATGAAAAAAAAACATTTAACAAGTTTTGTGTTCACAACACCACCACAAAGACTCACAAATTTTATGTTCGAGTAAATGGCAAAAAAGCATGTAGACAAGAAAAACATCATATAAGTTGCTCGAAGATTAAGACTGAGTTGTGCTAATGATGCGGTATGTGTGCACGTGACCGCATAACACAATGATTGTGGGAAACCACAAGATCATGATTGTGAAAAGTTGCTTTAAATGTAGACATTGTTCTTCAATCTGCAAAAGTAAAGCAATCACTCTCTTTGAAAAACCACTTGAAAACGTTCCAGAAGGACACAAAGATGTCATAGATGCTATTAAAACAAGAAAATCAACAAGATCTTTTAAAGGCCCAATCCCAAAAGAAGAGTTGACTGAACTTATCAATTTGACAAGATTCTCCCCTTCCACCAAGAATTGGAGACAAATCAAATATCATGTAAAAATGAGTTAAAGATAATTAACTCATTTTTACATGAGTTAAATAACAAAGGTAATTAAAAAATTAAATTAAGTAGCATTGCAAATTCCAGTTATCGTAACTTATTTACTTATTGCCAAATAAGTAAATTGGCAACTTTTTGTGTGTCGATTTTATTGTCAGTAAGGTTCAACATGTTGTTATTGCTTCGTCGACGAAACTCAAAATGTCTGGGAAAATGACGATGGAACCATTGCTTTCACCCAACCCAACTTGCAGCGACCGACAAAGGGTATGGCTCTCTTTGGTGTAGTTTGTTAAAGTTCATGTTTTTGTTCAATGAGTGTCTTGATATTGTTGGACTGAAAGAAAAAAGTGGTTGGGTCTTTGGCTTTGGGTGTTTCTTCATTCCACTAAACCAGTCAAGTATCACGAGAAGATGTTTCAATCATATTTTTGGAGTTTACAGAGTGCTTAGTTTATTTGTGGGTTAAATATTATTTGAATAATAATATTTGTATTATTTAAAAAAATAACAAACAAAGACTAAATATAAACAAATTAATTGTAATAAAACATGCAATTTTTTATTTAAAAAACTAAAACACCTTAATAATTATAGTACTTATTTACTATTTATTTATAATTATTAACTACAATAAAAAATAGAAATTATGAATTAAAATTATGATAATTATTTTATAGTTTTTTTATTATTTCAATAATAAATATTGAAATATTTTTTCAAAAAATGAACAATAAAGTCAAATAATAAACAGAAAGTTAAAATAATGGAGAGGACGAAAAGACAAAGAAGAATGAGTGAAAAAGGCAAAAGGCGATTTATAATGAGTGTCTAAAAGTCAAAACACAATGGACTCAATCATCGAAGAAGAAATCAGTACCCATTCGAGCTTCTAGTTGCTATCCAAATGAACTTTGGAAAGAAAATTCCTCTTCAGATCATCAGAGACACACTTACAAAAAACAACAACGATCTTTTTATCTCACTTAAAGAAATAAATGGGTCCATGTCTAAAATTCAACAGAGAGAAGTGGCTGTTCTTGAGGAATAACTTGTTCATTTTTACGTATTTTTTTGAAAAACAGTTTTTTATGTATAATATATTTATTAGTATTTTAACTATTTGATTAATTTAATTATTTTAATTAAAATAACTATTAGCAATAATATAATTAATTGGATTTTAAATTGTTTGTTTTAAATATAAAGAAAACTAATATGAATGTTTCCTTTGTTTATTATAACTAAGACAAAAGATCCATTCAATGATATAAAAGGTATTTTTAGAAACTTAAGTTACATTCGACATAATGGGCTGCTCAACATTTTTACTGATTATCATTGCGATATTTCTCCCACCACTCGCTGTTCTTTTGAAGAAGGGTTGTGGGTGCGACTTCCTCATCAATTTACTTTTGACTATCATTTTGTATTTCCCGGGCCTCATTCACGCCATCATTGTGATTACATAAATGATTTCTTATTTGTTTATTGGAATTACACAATTAAAATGTTAAATGAACAAGATTACAACTGAAACATAAAAATAAAGTTAGATAAAATCCCATTTAAAAACACGTGTGATATTAAACCCTAGTCTTCAAACAAACATGTGCATTAATTTCATTTTTATTCTAGCATCGACATTTTATTACTCATATTATACTATTGTCATTCATCATTATTAAGATATAAATTGAAAAGACAACAACTTTTAACAAATAAATTTTAATAATTGTGTAATCTTTGTTGTTTTATTGTGTATACTATGTATATATCAAATTGCGGATGTTAATAACATAAAAAAGAAATGTTTATCATTAATGAAATAAACACATAACAACAAAAATCAAAAAACACATTTTAAGGTATAAAAATGGTAAAAAAAATTTATCATTTATTTAAAACTGTGTCATTCTTTGAATTAAAATTAGGCTTAAAAATTTTTTTAAAAATTTAATAACCAATCAATTAAAATTTTTAATTTAAATTATTAACCCTTACAAGTCCAGAAAATTGGGCAATATAACATTTTTATATCACTGTCTATCTATGTTTTCAATAAAAATAATACATGGATGTTACAATAAATAATATTTATACTTTAATTTAAATTTAACAATTTTAGTTTGATGTCAAACTTTTAACAATAAAATAGTTTGCAAGTTTTATTTTTTTAAATTTTTTCAATAATATGTTTATCATAAATACATGTATTATTATCATTTGATACACAATATAATCAAATTAGAACAACACATTATGATAAATCATTCCTGTAATATTTTATGGATAAGTTGAAATATTATTGAAATGTAATATGTTTTTATAAATAATTTAACTAATAATTTGAAAATGACAATTAAGCAATTTTTTTCAGTAACATGTTGATTATGAAACATATATTTGTGTCTCTTTATCAACAAACTGTTTTTCATTAAAAACTATAAATTAAAGTCAGAATAAACAATGAATTAAATTAATTTTGTCAAACTGTCAAAAATCATATATTCAAAAAAATATCAAGTTTAAATACACAAAATTTACAATTTAGTGTTTACAAAACGTAATATATATGAATATATATAAATATGAAACAATATAGATATATGGTGTTTCAAACAATATCAACATTCTGTTTGTTGGATTTGGACATCGTTGTGGTCATGTTGGTCTTATATGTTATTTGGTTTTTGGATAATTGGGCAAAGAAAAACATTATTAAACGAGAGTGTATAATGGTTATTTTGAATTAAAAGTGTTATAAAAGTAATTTTTGAATTTTGGGTCAAGAGTTTAATTATTTTTCACACAACCCAATAATATAGTTTTATTTATATTAATTGACAAAACACCATATGCACTGATATCAATCCAAATAAAATGAAGTAAGTTATATTGTTTGACATATTTTATTAAACAATTGATAAAATATTGTCAATTTAATTTTTGTCATTTCTTATAATAAAAACAATAAAAATATTAATAACTTCATTTAAATACAAAAAACGATTTTCGATAGTGTTTTAGATGACTGTAAATCACATCACAAGACATAGACGTTTGTTATTTTCTTTTTCTTTTTTCTTTAGTATTTTAAAATAGTTTGCAACGCAGCCGTACCCCATTTCTTGAACACCGATATTGTTTTTAGCAGAGGTGTAAAACAGTGTAGTTCCACATTTTTTCATCATTTTAATTTCTTCGTGAGAAGAAACATTTCGTTCCAAGTCCAATTTCGTAGCACAGAGAATTAAAGGTATTTCTTCGTGATCATCCAATTTCAAAACTTCGTATATATCTTCTCTGTATTTCCACACATTCTCAAGGGATTCAGAGTCATTTATTGCATAAGCAATGATATAAAAATTTGATTGTTTAATGCACAACTCCTGAATAAATTTTGGTGTGTCTCCAGTGTACATTTTAAGTAACATCACATCAAAAATTTTGTCTTCAAATTTTAAATATTTATGAAACTTATCCTCAACACTTGAACCAAAACAACAAGTTATAAACATGCCATTACACAGCCGTTGTAATAGATGTTCACGCCCAACACGGTTATTTCCAATAACAATTCCACGAATAATAAATTGTTTATTTTCACTCATCTTTTACTATTGTAGTTTTCAAGACAATAAACATCACAATTTGTTAAAATATTAAACTAAAAATAATATACTATACTTAATAGTTTATTTTTAATATTAAATTCCAAAAAATCAAACATTAATTTGATTGTAGTTAGTTTTTATTATGTATTAAAATTTATAACGTATAGTTAATTTAATGATAAATTTACTATAAATATCATTGTTTATTATACTTTACTATATTAAATAGTTTCCTAATTATTAATCATATAATAATATTTACAAATTAAATCACAGTTAGTTTCATTTTGTTTAATAATATTTTCAACCTTATAATGTTTTGTTTCAGAATAATGATTAAAATGAACCTTTAATTAACACTGTTTCAAAACAATAATTTATTGTTTCAAAAGAAAAACAATTGTCTCAAATTAATGAATAATTGTTTCATTAAATGATTTATTTTTCAATAATTATGACCAATTGTTGAAAAACCTCTTTGTTTTGTTTAAAATTTTTAATTATTTGTTTCAAAACTGTGTTTGAATTCTCAAAACAATAAACACAAACAAACAATGAAAACAAACACATTTTGACAATAACTAACTGGGAAAATAAATTAATATATTTAAACACCATTTAAATCTATATTTTCAATGGCAGTTAACACTTTTCAGTTTATTCACAGAGACAATGTCCAATCATTCCTGAATCAAGAATATCATCATCAACAACCAGTTCTTGATGAAGTACCACTTGCACAATTGAGAACCACATATGAAATTACAAGATCAAGCAGTTTGTGTATTACTGAAACACAACCAATTAGAGACACACAAATTAGAATAAAACAAACAGAAAAAAAATCTCTGTTAAAGCGACTAAGTCTCAGGAAATCAGACTTTATAATGAATACCATGAACAATGATAAATCAAAGATTGGTGATATTATAAAGACAAAAGCAAAATGAATAAACAAGTGGTCAAACAGTATATTAGGTATTTGAAAAGTAGTATTGATATTACATAAACTCAAAAAGTGGGAAGAAAACAAAAATATTTTACCCGAGTTACTCACCAAAATAGCCAATAAATTAACAATAGATAATAAAACACCAAGAAAAACAAAAAACATTTGGCAGATAGTGTTTTGAATGAAATAAGAACTAATATAAAAGTAGTGTCAATTTCAACAATAAGTAGATATATTAAAGACCCAGACATAATGAAAGTAGCCGAACTTCCACCTCTAAGTTTTACCGAATGCACAATAAGGGGTACCAGATCGAACACACAAGAAAACAAATTGTTTTGAGTACAAAAAAAGAAGAGAACTTGATCAATTCATTTCTTCGGGTTGTCAAGTTGTTTTTGTCGACGAGAGTCACTGGAAGGTTGGCAATGTCAGATCCAGAAATTGGGTTGTTAAAGGAAAAATATTTTTGTGAACAACCATTGTCGACATTTAATTTATCGAATGTCTGTGCTATAAGTGATACAGGTTCAAAATATTGTACTTTATTTAACCAAACTATTAATGGGGAAATATTTATTAAATATTTTAAATTCCTCATTGAAGCATTCACAACGGATGGAAGCAGAATTAAATTTGTCATGGACAATGCTTTTGTTTACAAAGATGACATTGTTCAACTTGCAGAAGACAGAAGGTGCAAAGTGTTGTTTAATGTGCCTTATTCACCAGAGTGCAACCCTATAGAAACTTATTTGGAATATGGAAAGTCCGAGTTGGAAAATTGAATGATGTAACTATAGTATATGATTGAAAACATTTCAAAGTGTTTTGATGAAATTAGTCCAATTGTAATAAGACCAATTGTAATAAAATTTTATTAATATTGTTTTGTGAAAGTTTTTGTGATGGAAGATCTTTAACCAGTTTTTAATTGTTTGTGTATATTGTTTTGAGAATTGAAACACGGTTTTGAAACAAATAATTAAAAATTTTAAACAAAACAAAGAGGTTTTTCAACAATTGGTCATAATTATTGAAAAATAAATCATTTAATGAAACAATTATTCATTAATTTGAGACAATTGTTTTTCTTTTGAAACAATAAATTATTGTTTTGAAACAGTGTTAATTAAAGGTTCATTTTAATCATTATTCTGAAACAAAACATTATAAGGTTGAAAATATTATTAAACAAAATGAAACTAACTGTATTAAAATACGATTATTTAAAAAATGGTTTCAATTTTAAAAAATGTCAATTCATCATAGTTTTGATGTTTTTCTCTTCTGTCATACTCTTTTTTTCGTCTTAAATGATTTTGGAACTGTGCATGTGCTATTCTGTCTCTCTTTTGTTGTTCCGTGATTTTTTGTTCGACGTAACTTAAATGTAACGACCATTTTCTTTTAACATGGTTTATAAAATTATAATTTAATTATTGTTACATTATATTTATAAGTAGTTAATAAACATTATCTAACTTAAAAACAGATAGAGACTGATTTGCAATTCTTCGAGGGACTCAATTTACTGGGAGAACCTGTCATTTACAAAGGATTTGTTTTTAGAAAAAACAATGAGAAATACTCCAAATGCACCAAATGCCCTGCAAGGATAATTGGGGAAGCCAAAGAAGCAAAGGCAAATGACTACACAGCTCATAAAGAAGTCGCATTTGAAAGAGCCAGAGTGTGTTCTACAACAAAAATCGCCGAAAAATAGACATTGACCAAATGTGCCACGACCTAGTTGCCAATCCACTGAAACGGACATCAGTAGTAGTAAGGGAGCATTTAGATGTTCCGAAGAAAACAAGTCAACAAAACGCAAAATTGAAGTTCAACTACAAAAGAAAATTGATGATTCCTCAAATTATCGACCAATTGTGTGGTTCAAATTGTACTCTTATCATGGCGTATAAAATTGGAGAAGCTACAGTTTTGGGGTTGGCATCTGGATTGTTTATGATTAGCGAGTCGTTGTTAATAATTGGAGATGGCACATTTAAAATTGCGAATTCTGATGGCCAGTAGTATATTCTACACATATTGGTCAACAATTTTGCAACTTATTTTATCTTCATTAAGATTCCCGGAAAGTCCAAAGCAAATTACACCGAAGTATACACTGTGGTAGAAAAATTGGCAAAAGAACACAGTCTGGTCATTTTTAACAAACAAAAGTTATTCATCAGTGACTTTGAAATGGCGACAATTAAATGTTTGAACACCTTTTTTCCTTTGGTTGAATTCTATGGGTGTTTCTTTCATTTTTCACAAAGTATTTTAAGAAAAGTCAGAGGAAATTTAATCAAATGCAGTCGCTACTATGATGAATACGCCGACTTCAGAGTTTTCATAAAGCGTACAACAAATTGCACATTTCTCCCTTTGGCTTTTCTAAACCACAATCTGGTGAATTATTTATTCGAAAAATTTGGAAAAATAAACACATATATACCAACAGATTCTCTGAAGTTGTTCAAAGTATACCCAACAAAACCCTGTTTTAGAAATGAAGTACAACCTCCAAAAACAAAGGAAAATGTGGTGTTGTTTTGGAAAAAACGACACGTACTAACAAGATATCAGAAAGCTCTTATTTTATTTTGGACCTTAAAATCCAAAAGTAGGTTGATGTTGTTGCGTTGGTTGAATTAATTACGTTCGTCCTTGAAAACGACCGAAACAAAATTGGACTTAATATCCAAACTGGACGACCAACTTCTGCAATTATGAATCAAAAGTAAAACAATTCTATTTTTGAAAAAATGAACTGACAGCTGTTTATTATTTAGACCGTGTTTCAAATATATTAAAATTAAATTCCATCCATCAATATTCGGAAATCATTCTTCAGCAAGAAAACGGAAGCGTGCTGAAAAAATTACACAGAAATGTGTTTATAGAAAACACCAAAAAGTTACAAATTGGTAAAGTGGAAGTCCAAGATTATTTTTGTTGTTTAATGAACCAATGGTTTCGTCAACTGGTTTAAATACAAACGCAGCAGAGTTTATATTGAACAGTTGGACTATTAACAACTCTTTGACAATCCAAGTCAACTATTTTGAAAACTTGATATCAAAACCATTTTACGATACGAAGGACATTTTCTTTTTGGATGCAAGTTTCGAAAATATCAGACAATTTTACAAACATCCAATGAGCCGAGTTGAACGTGAAGCCCTCAACACAACTTTGAGCTGGACAACAGAGAAAACGCGGTTATTGAAGAGGAAATACCGGTACACAACGAGGAAGTTGGTAGGGTCAATGAAGTATCACAATATAGTTCACAAAATAACCCACAAATAATGTACAATTATTACAATTCAACCAACCAAGCTCCTTTTTACCCATTGCCTTATGTATATTATAATACATATATGCCACATTATATGTACCCGTATTATGGAAGATTTCAGATGAATTATGGTCATCATTAATTAATTCAGCGCGTATTATATTTCAGTCTGTTCAATACCTAATTTATAGTTCATCGCCAAATGTGAATAATGTATAAGAGGGCAGCGAGACAACCTCCGTTGCCTTACCATTACTCCTTATCAGAATAGAAGTAGTATAACAGCACCATATTTAACTAGGTTCATACTCTTGTTGATTTTTTTCCCAATGAAGAAGTCTTGTAGAATGTGCATTACTTTTGGTATTCCTGGCCCATCAATCAACACAACATCACAAATGCTCCTTTATCCACTTTGGCGTCTTCAATATTTTTCTCTACTTGTTCTATTGTCGACCTGAAGAGGTCATTGTTGAGTTCTACAAAACGTGTAGAAGTCGATGCCTTCATACAACTGGTCCTCTTCGATATTTGCTGTTGCTGCAGATGATAGTGTTCACTTTGCCTGTTCACACAATGTTCTAAGGTTTGCTGAGTCTTCTGACTGCTCGTGCATTGCCTGAAATGTCTTTCTTGTACTTTCTCTTGAACTCGGCAATGAAGTGGTTGACCATTCTGTTATCAAAGTCTTCACCACCAAGGTGTGTGTTGCCGATTGTTGCCTTCACTTCAAAGTGCCATCGTCAATAGCAAGAAGTGAGACATCAAATGTTCCACCACCAAGATCAAAGATCAAGACGTTCTTTTCTCTCTTCTTGTCAAGTCCACATGCTATTGCTGCTGCTGTTGGCTCATTGATGATTCTGAGTGCATTGATGCCTACAATTGTGCTTGTATCCTTAGTGGCTTATCTTTGAGAATCTTTGAAAATGCTGGGTATGTAATAACTGCGTTGTTGATACAAATTTTCCCATTAACAAAAATGTGTGGTTATTTTCATCTTAAATAATATCATTCGACTGATTACTTTTGGTGTGAACATCTTGGTCTTACCCTTGTGTTCAACTTTAATTTAATGAATAGTAGTATATATATTGTGCCGATTTCGGACACTCGCTTCTCTCGCATCCTCAATCACCACAACATATGTTAAAATCGTTGTAAATATATTATATTATATTTTTCAAATAATTTTCATGAAATTATTTTTTTATCTACTTATTACCAAGTCATAATTTATTTTTTTTATTCATTTAAATGGCAGACAGAATAATAGATTTTGAAGATATTTATAATGATGTTTATCATGATAATATTAGAAACTGTTTTGATAAAAACGAAAATTTAAAAAGATATAATCCAAAATTTAAAGATAATGGAATGCTTAGAATGATTTTCAAATTAAAAAATTATGGAATTAAAAATTATGATAAATTAAAAGATTTAGAATTTGAGTATCTTAATTATATTAATCTTTTAAAGTCTACAGTTAAATTAGATTCTACTTTTTTAAATAAAGTTTATGATAATCTTAATGATAGTAACAAAAAGACTTTCTCTTTAATTAATAAGAAAACAGGATTAATTAAAGCTGAAGATGATTATAAAAATCAAAAAGAGCTTGATAAAAAGAATTTAGAATGGGCTTTAGAACACCAAATGAAAGAAGATGACAATGAAGTTAATGAAGAAGATTATGACTATATAAATGAAATATTAAAAAACGAAAGAGAACAAGAATATCTAATTAATAATTATGATGACAATGAAGAGAATTTAGAATGGGCTTTAGATCATCAAATGGAAGATGACGATAATGAAGCTGAATACAGAGAGCAACTTTATGAACCAAGCAAAAGATTATTAAATGATGATGATGAAGTTATAGCTTAAAAATCAAATGATGTCGAATATGATATTGAAAACAATAGAATTTATGCTAATTTTGGTAACAATTTTGATGAAAAAGTAATTCAAATTAGATTGATAAGATAATATTTTAACCAACTAATTGAGAATCTACCAGCAAATACTAATTTGGTTTATAGATATAAATTTTATGATTCGAATTGGTTTACATACATGTTAAATTCTAAGGAAAATATAGATGAATTCCTTAGATCTATCTCTGAAGAAATCTTAGGTTTATATAATATTACAGAAGTAGAAGCTGAAACAGATTCAGCATTTTATGTTCAAAAACAAGTTCCAGAACCATTATTTATATATGAAATAATAATTGAACCATATGATTATAAACATGATGATGCAAAAGAATATAAAAGTAATGGAGCTGCTTTCTTCCCTTATCATTATACTCCAGAATTTGAAATATTCTCAAAGTATTTAGTTACAGCTCAAATATTTAGTTCTCTTAATGTAAATAAGCTTGTAAGACCGGAATTAAACATGAATTGTCTAGTTTATGCTTTGAAACAAGCTAAAATTGACGATAAAATCATAGATTTATATCGTGTTCACTGTATTTCTAGATATCAAAAAATAAAGTTGATAGATGAAGTTTCTAAATCATGTAATATAAGAATTCAAGTAAAACGTGAGGAAACTGTTCGTAAATGTCATGCTAACACTATTATGAAATCTATTGGATCAATCAGTAAAGATACTATCGAAATTAATTTATTCTTATATCGAGACACCAATATGAAAGGAGATCATTATTTCTTAGATATTGATTTACCTATAACTCCATTCTATCTTAAGAACAGAGAAGAACTTAATAAATATGCTTTAGAAAATAATTTAAGTATTGATAATATGTTTGATAAACAAAGTAAGAAAGGAAATAATTATTATACTAAGCCAGGCGCTAAAGATACTATAAAATTATCTGAGCTAATATTATACATTAGAGATCATAATGGATTTAAATCGTATTCATTATCTGATGTACTTCATTTACCGTCTGATTTGTCAGATTATGTAAGTAATAATTTAGAATCATTAGAATATTTAGATTATGAGGTTAAAGATATTAAATTAGAGTCAAAAAATAAGAAATTTAAACAAAAAATACTATCAACATATTATTATGCCGTTTTTGAAGCTTCAACACAAGGAATTCATCAAGCTTATTGTGTATCTTATTCTAAACGTAATTCTAATCAAATATGTAATAAATATGGTAATAAATGTGTAGAAGAATTTTTAAATGAACTTAACGATAATTCTGTAATATACTTTCATAATTTGAAGTATGATTCTTGCTTCCTTGCTGAATATGGTATTAACAAATGTATTAAGAAGGATGGAAAAACAATGAAGATGAATTTGATATATAATAAGAAGAAATTAACATTTAAAGATAGTTATTCGATGATTAGTACAGCATTAAATCAATTTCCAAAGATGTTTGGGTTAAGAAATCTTCAAAAAGAGTTATATCCATATAACTACTATACTCAAGAACATATTCAAAATAATATTGGAACTATATCAGAAGCAGGTGAATATGAGATACAAAAATGGACTGAAGCCGAATATAAACTATTTAATGAAAATATTGATAAAATAGAAAGTTGTAAAATTGATGAAAATCATTTTAATATGATGTTGTCTTGTAAATTTTACTGTAATCAAGATGTAAGAATATTAAAAGAAGTACATACTCAATTTAGAATTGATAACTTATCTAGTTTAAATATAGATGTAGATAAATTCATTAGTATTTCTGCATTAGCTAACAACTATTTTACAACACATGTTTACTCAAAAATTAAAGATCTTAAACAATATAGTGGTAAAATTAGAGAATACATTCAAGGTACAGTATATGGAGGAAGATGCATGACAAGAGTCAATAAAAAATGGCATGTAAGAGATGAATTATATGATTATGATGCTTGTTCTCTATATCCTAGTGCAATTCATAGATTAAAGTTAGCAACAGGAAAACCTATTTTAATACCAAAGGATTTACTCAATTCAACTATATTAAATCACATAATGTTAGAACAACAATTAGAACCTACAAATGAACGTTATATATCAGCTTTTATAGTTGATATCGAAATTACTAAGATAAATAAGGAACTACACTTTCCTATAATTACTAAGAAGACTAAGAAAGGAAATTTAAATGTAAATGAATGTTGTAATATGCGTGTTGACAACATCATGTTAGAAGATTTAATTAAATTTCAGCAAATAGAATATAACATTACAAGAGGATATATGTGGATAGGGTTAAATCAGATGTATTTAGTAAAGAGATTGAGAAAATATATAATATGAGAGCACAATTAAAGAAAGAAGGTAATCCATTACAAAATAACTATAAATTATTGATGAATAGTAGTTATGGTAAAACAATTCAGAAGCCAATTACTAATGAATCGGTGTATAAACAAATTGATAACAACGGTAAACATGATGCTGACAGATATCTTAAGAAGAACTTTACATTAGTTAAATCTATGTATGATGTAAGTAAAAACATTAGATGCTTCGAAACTAACAAGTCGTTTGATGATTTTTGTGTATCTAACTTAATTGGTGTTCAAATATTAAGTATGAGTAAACGTATAATGAATGAAGTTATGTGTTTAGCAGAAGATTTGGATATTCCTATATATTATCAAGATACTGATTCTATACATATTGTAAAGTCTAGAATTGAAGAATTAGAAGAAAAATATAAAGAAATATATGGAAAAACATTAAGAGGAACTAATTTAGAACAGTTTCATCCTGATTTCGATGAATTATTTGGAGATGTTTACAGTAAAGAATCTTACTTTTTAGGTAAAAAAGCATATTGTGATGTATTAACAAATGAGAAAGGAAAATTCGCTTATCATAATAGATTAAAAGGTATTCCTAATAATCTTCTCAATAATAAAGAAGATCCGGTAGAATTATATAAAAGACTATATAATGGAGAGAAGTACGAATTTAACTTATTAGAGCTTAGACCAAGCTTCGAATTTGATAAACAATTTAATATTAAAACAAGAGAGCATTTCACCAAAAATATTTCGTTTTAAAGTTAGTAATATGTCCGCCAAAATAATATTAACAAACGATTTATTAGAGTTTTATTTTTAGTCAGTCTATTTCATACGGAATAAAACCAAAAATGATTGTCCCAAAAGTAATAATATACTTTCGGAACATCTGAAAGTATATCATTTATTCTCAGATAATCTTATTTAAATGTAGTTATCAAAACAGTTATTAGTAATTTCATCATTAAAATCGAAATTTATTTTTCTGGTATTATCGGATTTGAATTGCGACAATGGTTTCTTACTAAAAGTTATGCCTTTGTTATTATTATCTTTAATACATTAACGAACCCACTTATCACTAAATTGACTTGTTCTAGGAACTAATAATCTAACAGTATCATTCTTGATTTGAAATAACTCTTCTGTATCAGGCTGATAATATAAATCAACTTCGTGATTATTAATGTTTTCAACATGTTTACACTTTTCTTTTATAGTGTTAATAATAGCTTTCATTAAAAAGGATGATTCCATTTATAATATATTAAAAAAAATTATCACTTTGTAATTATTTGAAAAATATAATATAATATATTTACAACAATTTTAACATATATTGTGGTGATTGAGGATGCGAGAGAAGCGAGTGTCCGAAATCGGCACAATATATATACTACTACAATTAAAAAATATTTATTTAAAAAAATTCTACAATTACTTTTATTTATTTTCAAATAATTTAATATATTTTAAATAAAAAAAATATAAAAACTGTTAATGTTATTAAATTTTACATTTACAAAGAAGAGATGGATATTAGTAGAAGTTAAATAACACAATAATATATCGACCTTATTATAGTCAACTTTGATGTGTGTTGGATTTATTCTAAATTTTAACAACAAAATAGATTCGAGAAACAATAAACCATAGAACGATTGTAATATATTTAAAAACAATGATGTGTAATGAACCACCAACTACACTTTTTTATTATGACAACTGCAATTCGATATTCAAATCATTGTACTAAAAATTATAA